CTAGCAGTAGAGAGGCTAGGAGGGTGAGAGAGAACCGGCGAGCCGTGGAGAGGCTATGAGAGTGAGAGAACAGGCTAGCAGTGGAGAGGCCAGGAGGGTGAGAGAACAGGCTAGCAGTGGAGAGGCTTGGAGAGAGAGAACAGGGCAGCAGTGGAGAGGCTAGGAGCGTGAGAGAGAACAGGCTAGCAGTGGAGAGGCTAGGAGCGTGAGAGAACAGGCTAGCAGTGGAGAGGCTAAGGAGAGTGAGAGAACAGGCTAGCAGTAGAGAGGCTAGGAGCGTGAGAGAGAACAGGCTAGCAGTGGAGAGGCTAGGAGAGTGAGAGAGAGAACAGGCTAGCAGTGGAGAGGCTAAGGAGCGTGAGAGAACAGGCTAGCAGTGGAGAGGCTAGGAGCGTGAGAGAACAGGCTAGCAGTAGAGAGGCTAGGAGGGTGAGAGAGAACAGGCGAGCCGTGGAGAGGCTATGAGAGTGAGAGAACAGGCTAGCAGTAGAGAGGCTAGGAGCGTGAGAGAGAACAGGCTAGCAGTGGAGAGGCTAGGAGAGTGAGAGACAGGCTAGCAGTGGAGCGGCTAGGAGAGTGAGAGAACAGGCTAGCAGTGGAGAGGCTAGGAGCGTGAGAGAATAGGCTAGCAGTAGAGAGGCTAGGAGCGTGAGAGAGAACAGGCTAGCAGTGGAGAGGCTAGGAGGGTGAGAGAACAGGCTAGCAGTGGAGAGGCTATGAGAGTGAGAGAACAGGCTAGCAGTAGAGAGGCTAGGAGCGTGAGAGAGAACAGGCTAGCAGTGGAGAGGCTAGGAGAGTGAGAGATAACAGGCTAGCAGTGGAGAGGCTAGGAGAGTGAGAGAACAGGCTAGCAGTGGAGAGGCTAGGAGAGAGAGAACAGGCTAGCAGTGGAGAGGCTAGGAGAGTGAGAGAACAGGCTAGCAGTGGAGAGACTAGGAGAGTGAGAGAACAGGCTAGCAGTGGAGAGGCTAGGAGCGTGAGAGAACAGGCTAGCAGTAGAGAGGCTAGGAGCGTGAGAGAGAACAGGCAGGCAGTGGAGAGGCTAGGAGAGTGAGAGAACAGGCTAGCAGTGGAGAGGCTAGGAGCGTGAGAGAACAGGCTAGCAGTGGAGAGGCTAGGAGCGTGAGAGAACAGGCTAGCAGTGGAGAGGCTAGGAGAGAGAGAACAGGCTAGCAGTGGAGAGGCTAGGAGCGTGAGAGAACAGGCTAGCAGTGGAGAGGCCAGGAGGGTGAGAGAACAGGCTAGCAGTGGAGAGGCTTGGAGAGAGAGAACAGGGCAGCAGTGGAGAGGCTAGGAGCGTGAGAGAGAACAGGCTAGCAGTGGAGAGGCTAGGAGCGTGAGAGAACAGGCTAGCAGTGGAGAGGCTAAGGAGAGTGAGAGAACAGGCTAGCAGTAGAGAGGCTAGGAGCGTGAGAGAGAACAGGCTAGCAGTGGAGAGGCTAGGAGAGTGAGAGAGAGAACAGGCTAGCAGTGGAGAGGCTAAGGAGCGTGAGAGAACAGGCTAGCAGTGGAGAGGCTAGGAGCGTGAGAGAACAGGCTAGCAGTAGAGAGGCTAGGAGGGTGAGAGAGAACAGGCGAGCCGTGGAGAGGCTATGAGAGTGAGAGAACAGGCTAGCAGTAGAGAGGCTAGGAGCGTGAGAGAGAACAGGCTAGCAGTGGAGAGGCTAGGAGAGTGAGAGAGAACAGGCTAGCAGTGGAGAGGCTAGGAGAGTGAGAGAGAACAGGCTAGCAGTGGAGAGGCTAGGAGAGAGAGAACAGGCTAGCAGTGGAGAGGCTAGGAGAGTGAGAGAACAGGCTAGCAGTGGAGAGGCTAGGAGAGTGAGAGAACAGGCTAGCAGTGGAGAGGCTAGGAGCGTGAGAGAATAGGCTAGCAGTAGAGAGGCTAGGAGCGTGAGAGAGAACAGGCTAGCAGTGGAGAGGCTAGGAGGGTGAGAGAACAGGCTAGCAGTGGAGAGGCTAGGAGCGTGAGAGAACAGGCTAGCAGTGGAGAGGCTAGGAGAGTGAGAGAGAACAGGCAGGCAGTGGAGAGGCTAGGAGAGTGAGAGAGAACAGGCTAGCAGTGGAGAGGCTAGGATGGTGAGAGAACAGGCTAGCAGTGGAGAGGCTAGGAGAGTGAGAGAGAACAGGCTAGCAGTGGAGAGGCTAGGAGCGTGAGAGAACAGGCTAGCAGTAGAGAGGCTAGGAGCGTGAGAGATAACAGGCTAGCAGTGGAGAGGCTAGGAGAGTGAGAGAGAACAGGCTAGCAGTGGAGAGGCTAGGAGAGAGAGAACAGGCTAGCAGTGGAGAGGCTAGGAGAGTGAGAGAACAGGCTAGCAGTGTAGAGGCTAGGAGAGTGAGAGAACAGGCTAGCAGTGGAGAGGCTAGGAGAGTGAGAGAACAGGCTAGCAGTGAAGAGGCTAGGAGCGTGAGAGAACAGGCTAGCAGTAGAGAGGCTAGGAGCGTGAGAGAGAACAGGCTAGCAGTGGAGAGGCTAGGAGGGTGAGAGAACAGGCTAGCAGTGGAGAGGCTAGGAGCGTGAGAGAGAACAGGCTAGCAGTGGAGAGGCTAGGAGAGTGAGAGAGAACAGGCAGGCAGTGGAGAGGCTAGGAGAGTGAGAGAGAACAGGCTAGCAGTGGAGAGGCTAGGAGGGTGAGAGAACAGGCTAGCAGTGGAGAGGCTAGGAGAGTGAGAGAACAGGCTAGCAGTGGAGAGGCTAGGAGGGTGAGAGAACAGGCTAGCAGTGGAGAGGCTAGGAGCGTGAGAGAACAGGCTAGCAGTGGAGAGGCCAGGAGGGTGAGAGAACAGGCTAGCAGTGGAGAGGCTAGGAGCGTGAGAGAGAACAGGCTAGCAGTGGAGAGGCTAGGAGAGAGAGAGAACAGGCGAGCAGTGGAGAGGCTAGGAGAGGGAGAGAGAACAGGCTAGCAGTGGAGAGGCTAGGAGAGGGTGAGAGAACAGGCTAGCAGTGGAGAGGCTAGGAGAGGGTGAGAGAACAGGCTAGCAGTGGAGAGGCTAGGAGAGTGAGAGAACAGGCTAGCAGTGGAGAGTCTCGGAGAGAGAGAACAGGGCAGCAGTGGAGAGGCTAAGAGCGTGAGAGAGAACAGGCTAGCAGTGGAGAGGCTAGGAGCGTGAGAGCACAGGCTAGCAGTGGAGAGGCTAAGGAGAGTGAGAGAACAGGCTAGCAGTAGAGAGGCTAGGAGCGTGAGAGAGAACAGGCTAGCAGTGGAGAGGCTAGGAGAGTGAGAGAGAGAACAGGCTAGCAGTGGAGAGGCTAAGGAGTGTGAGAGAACAGGCTAGCAGTGGAGAGGCTAGGAGAGTGAGAGAGAACAGGCTAGCAGTGGAGAGGCTAAGGAGGGTGAGAGAACAGGCTAGCAGTGGAGTGGCTAGGAGCGTGAGAGAACAGGCTAGCAGTAGAGAGGCTAGGAGAGAGAGAATAGGCTAGCAGTGGAGAGGCTAGGAGCGTGAGAGAACAGGCTAGCAGTGGAGAGGCCAGGAGGGTGAGAGAACAGGCTAGCAGTGGAGAGGCTAGGAGCGTGAGAGAGAACAGGCTAGCAGTGGAGAGGCTAGGAGAGAGAGAGAGAACAGGCGAGCAGTGGAGAGGCTAGGAGAGTGAGAGAGAACAGGCTAGCAGTGGAGAGGCTAGGAGAGGGTGAGAGAACAGGCTAGCAGTGGAGAGGCTAGGAGAGGGTGAGAGAACAGGCTAGCAGTGGAGAGGCTAGGAGAGTGAGAGAACAGGCTAGCAGTGGAGAGGCTTGGAGAGAGAGAACAGGGCAGCAGTGGAGAGGCTAGGAGCGTGAGAGAGAACAGGCTAGCAGTGGAGAGGCTAGGAGCGTGAGAGAGAACAGGCTAGCAGTGGAGAGGCTAGGAGAGTGAGAGAGAGAACAGGCTAGCAGTGGAGAGGCTAAGGAGCGTGAGAGAACAGGCTAGCAGTGGAGAGGCTAGGAGAATGAGAGAGAACAGGCTAGCAGTGGAGAGGCTAGGAGAGTGAGAGAGAACAGGCTAGCAGTGGAGAGGCTAGGAGAGAGAGAACAGGCTAGCAGTGGAGAGGCTAGGAGAGTGAGAGAGAACAGGCTAGCAGTGGAGAGGCTAGGAGGGTGAGAGAACAGGCTAGCAGTGGAGAGGCTAGGAGCATGAGAGAACAGGCTAGCAGTGGAGAGGCCAGGAGGGTGAGAGAACAGGCTAGCAGTGGAGAGGCTAGGAGCGTGAGAGAGAACAGGCTAGCAGTGGAGAGGCTAGGAGAGAGAGAGAACAGGCGAGCAGTGGAGAGGCTAGGAGAGTGAGAGAGAACAGGCTAGCAGTGGAGAGGCTAGGAGAGAGAGAACAGGCTAGCAGTGGAGAGGCTAAGAGAGTGAGAGAACAGGCTAGCAGTGTAGAGGCTAGGAGAGTGAGAGAACAGGCTAGCAGTGGAGAGGCTAGGAGAGTGAGAGAACAGGCTAGCAGTGAAGAGGCTAGGAGCGTGAGAGAACAGGCTAGCAGTAGAGAGGCTAGGAGCGTGAGAGAGAACAGGCTAGCAGTGGAGAGGCTAGGAAGGTGAGAGAACAGGCTAGCAGTGGAGAGGCTAGGAGCGTGAGAGAGAACAGGCTAGCAGTGGAGAGGCTAGGAGAGTGAGAGAGAACAGGAAGGCAGTGGAGAGGCTAGGAGAGTGAGAGAGAACAGGTTAGCAGTGGAGAGGCTAGGAGGGTGAGAGAACAGGCTAGCAGTGGAGAGGCTAGGAGAGTGAGAGAACAGGCTAGCAGTGGAGAGGCTAGGAGGGTGAGAGAACAGGCTATCCTCGCACAGTAGCAGTGTGCTTGTTTATTAACTATCCTCACACAGTAGCAGTGTGCTTGTTTATTAACTATCACTCAGTAGCAGTGTGCTTGTTTATTAACTATCACACAGCAGTGTGCTTGTTTATTAACTATTCTCACACAGTAGCAGTGTGCTTGTTTATTAACTATCCTCACAGTAGCAGTGTGCTTGTTTATTAACTATCCTCACACAGTAGCAGTGTGCTTGTTTATTAACTATCCTCACACAGCAGGAGGAGGAGGAGAAGGATCGCAACTCACAGCGCCATGGAAGTTTGCTGCAGCAGCAGCGGCGTGAGGGACGCCGGCCACCCCATCGTGGTGCAGGTGAACGTCACTAGCCTCTCCACTGCTAGCCTGTACTCTCACTCTGCTAGCCTCTCCACTGCTAGCCTGTGCTCTCTCACCCTCAGCCTCTCCACTGCTAGCCTGTTCTCTCACCCTCCTAGCCTCTCTACTGCTAGCCTGTTCTCTCACTTTCCTTAGCCTCTCCACTGCTTGCCTGTTCTCTCTCACTCTCCTAGCCTCTCCACTGCTAGCCTGTTCTCTCTCTCCTAGCCTCTCTACTGCTAGCCTGTTCTCTCACCCTCCTAGCCTCTCCACTGCTAGCCTGTTCTCTCTCACGCTCCTAGCCTCTCCACTGCTAGCCTGTTCTCTCACTCTCCTTAGCCTCTCCACTGCTAGCCTGTTCTCTCTCACGCTCCTAGCCTCTCCACTGCTAGCCTGTTCTCTCTCACTCTCCTAGTTTCTCCACTGCTAGCCTGTTCTCTCTCACGCTCCTAGCCTCTCCACTGCTAGCCTGTTCTCTCACCCTCCTTGCCTCTCCACTGCTAGCCTGTTCTCTCTCTCTCTCCTAGCCTCTCCACTGCTAGACTGTTCTCTCTCACTCTCCGAGCCTCTCCACTGCTAGCCTGTTCTCTCTCACTCTCCTAGCCTCTCCACTGCTAGCCTGTTCTCTCTCACTCTCCTAGGCTCTCCACTGCCTGCCTGTTCTCTCACTCTCCTAGCCTCTCCACTGCTAGCCTGTTCTCTCACTCTCCTAGCCTCTCCACTGCTAGCCTGTTCTCTGTCTCCTAGCCTCTCCACTGCTAGCCTGTTCTCTCTCACACTCCTAGCCTCTCCACTGCTAGCCTGTTCTCTCTCACGCTCCTAGCCTCTCCACTGCTAGCCTGTTCTATCTCACTCTCCTAGCCTCTCCACTGCTAGCCTGTTCTATCTCACTCTCCTAGCCTCTCCACTGCTAGCCGGTTCTCTCTCTCCTAGCCTCTCCACTGCTAGCCTGTTCTCTCACGCTCCTAGCCTCTCCACTGCTAGCCTGTTCTCTCTCACACTCCTAGCCTCTCCACTGCTAGCCTGTTCTCTCACTTTCCTTAGCCTCTCCACTGCTTGCCTGTTCTCTCTCACTCTCCTAGCCTCTCCACTGCTAGCCTGTTCTCTCTCTCCTAGCCTCTCTACTGCTAGCCTGTTCTCTCACCCTCCTAGCCTCTCCACTGCTAGCCTGTTCTCTCTCACGCTCCTAGCCTCTCCACTGCTAGCCTGTTCTCTCACTCTCCTTAGCCTCTCCACTGCTAGCCTGTTCTCTCTCACGCTCCTAGCCTCTCCACTGCTAGCCTGTTCTCTCTCACTCTCCTAGTTTCTCCACTGCTAGCCTGTTCTCTCTCACGCTCCTAGCCTCTCCACTGCTAGCCTGTTCTCTCACTCTCCTTAGCCTCTCCACTGCTATCCTGTTCTCTATCTCTCCTAGCCTCTCCACTGCTAGACTGTTCTCTCTCACTCTCCTAGCCTCTCCACTGCTAGCCTGTTCTCTCTCACTCTCCTAGCCTCTCCACTGCTAGCCTGTTCTCTCTCACTCTCCTAGGCTCTCCACTGCCTGCCTGTTCTCTCACTCTCCTAGCCTCTCCACTGCTAGCCTGTTCTCTCACTCTCCTAGCCTCTCCACTGCTAGCCTGTTCTCTGTCTCCTAGCCTCTCCACTGCTAGCCTGTTCTCTCTCACACTCCTAGCCTCTCCACTGCTAGCCTGTTCTCTCTCACGCTCCTAGCCTCTCCACTGCTAGCCTGTTCTATCTCACTCTCCTAGCCTCTCCACTGCTAGCCTGTTCTATCTCACTCTCCTAGCCTCTCCACTGCTAGCCGGTTCTCTCTCTCCTAGCCTCTCCACTGCTAGCCTGTTCTCTCACGCTCCTAGCCTCTCCACTGCTAGCCTGTTCTCTCTCACACTCCTAGCCTCTCCACTGCTAGCCTGTTCTCTCACTTTCCTTAGCCTCTCCACTGCTTGCCTGTTCTCTCTCACTCTTCTAGCCTCTCCACTGCTAGCCTGTTCTCTCTCTCCTAGCCTCTCTACTGCTAGCCTGTTCTCTCTCACTCTCCTAGCCTCTCCACTGCTAGCCTGTTCTCTCACCCTCCTAGCCTCTCCACTGCTAGCCTGTTCTCTCACCCTCCTAGCCTCTCCACTGCTAGCCTGTTCTCTCTCACGCTCCTAGCCTCTCCACTGCTAGCCTGTTCTCTCACTCTCCTTAGCCTCTCCACTGCTAGCCTGTTCTCTCTCACGCTCCTAGCCTCTCCACTGCTAGCCTGTTCTCTCTCACTCTCCTAGTTTCTCCACTGCTAGCCTGTTCTCTCTCACGCTCCTAGCCTCTCCACTGCTAGCCTTTTCTCTCACCCTCCTTGCCTCTCCACTGCTAGCCTGTTCTCTCTCTCTCTCCTAGCCTCTCCACTGCTAGACTGTTCTCTCTCACTCTCCTAGCCTCTCCACTGCTAGCCTGTTCTCTCTCACTCTCCTAGCCTCTCCACTGCTAGCCTGTTCTCTCTCACTCTCCTAGGCTCTCCACTGCCTGCCTGTTCTCTCACTCTCCTAGCCTCTCCACTGCTAGCCTGTCCTCTCACTCTCCTTAGCCTCTCCACTGCTAGCCTGTTCTCTCACTCTCCTAGCCTCTCCACTGCTAGCCTGTTCTCTGTCTCCTAGCCTCTCCACTGCTAGCCTGTTCTCTCTCACACTCCTAGCCTCTCCACTGCTAGCCTGTTCTCTCTCACGCTCCTAGCCTCTCCACTGCTAGCCTGTTCTATCTCACTCTCCTAGCCTCTCCACTGCTAGCCTGTTCTCTCTCTCCTAGCCTCTCCACTGCTAGCCTGTTCTCTCACGCTCCTAGCCTCTCCACTGCTAGCCTGTTCTCTCTCACACTCCTAGCCTCTCCACTGCTAGCCTGTTCTCTCTCACGCTCCTAGCCTCTCCACTGCTAGCCTGTTCTATCTCACTCTCCTAGCCTCTCCACTGCTAGCCTGTTCTCTCTCTCCTAGCCTCTCCACTGCTAGCCTGTTCTCTCGCTCTCCTAGCCTCTCCACTGCTAGCCTGTTCTCTCTCTTCTAGCCTCTCCACTGCTAGCCTGTTCTCTCTCACTCTCCTAGCCTCTCCACTGCTAGCCTGTTCTCTCTCACTCTCCTAGCCTCTCCACTGCTAGCCTGTTCTCTCTCACTCTCCTAGCCTCTCCACTGCTAGCCTGTTCTCTCACTCTCTTTTTCTTTTTTCAACGTAAAAGTTAATTTATTAAGCCACACATCATGCGTCGACAACGGTAACAACACCACAACGAACCTGGGGCTTAATGTAAAACAACGCGAATGTTTACGTGCCGAGGAGCGCCTATTTCCCGCCCTCCCCCGCGCGAGGGTCACGTGATCGGCGAGGGTCACGTGATCGGCGAGGGTCACGTGATCGGCGAGGGTCACGTGATCGGCGAGGGTCACGTGATCGGCGAGGGTCACGTGATCGGCGAGGGTCACGTGATCGGCGAGGGTCACGTGATCGGCGAGGGTCACGTGATCGGCGAGGGTCACGTGATCGGCGAGGGTCACGTGATCGGCGAGGGTCACGTGATCGGCGAGGGTCACGTGATCGGCGAGGGTCACGTGATCCTGTGTCCTGTGCGTGTACAGCGTGTGTCTCTCTGTGTCTGTGTCCTGTGTGTGTACAGCGTGTCTGTCTGTGTCCTGTGTGTGTACAGCGTGTCTCTCTCTGTGTCTGTGTCCTGTGTGTGTACAGCGTGTGTCTCTCTGTGTCTGTGTCCTGTGCGTGTACAGCGTGTCTCTCTGTGTCTGTGTCCTGTGCGTGTACAGCGTGTGTCTCTCTGTGTCTGTGTCCTGTGCGTGTACCGCGTGTGTCTCTCTGTGTCTGTGTCCTGTGTGTACAGCGTGTGTCTCTCTGTGTCTGTGTCCTGTGTGTGTACAGCGTGTGTCTCTCTGTGTCATGTGTGTGTACAGCGTGTGTCTCTCTGTGTCTGTGTCCTGTGTGTGTACAGCGTGTCTCTCTGTGTCTGTGTCCTGTGTGTGTACAGCGTGTCTCTCTGTGTCTGTGTCCTGTGTGTGTACAGCACGTGTCTCTCTGAGTCTGTGTCCTGTGCGTGTACAGCGTGTGTCTCTCTGTGTCTGTCCTGTGCGTGTACAGCGTGTGTCTTTCTGTGTCTGTGTCCTATGTGTGTACAGCGTGTGTCTCTCTGTGTGTCCTGTGCGTGTACAGCGTGTGTCTCTCTGTGTCTGTGTCCTGTGTGTGTACAGCGTGTGTCTCTCAGTCTGTGTCCTGTGTGTACAGCGTGTGTCTCTCTGTGTCTGTGTCCTGTGTGTGTACAGCACGTGTCTCTCTGTGTCTGTGTCCTGTGTGTGTACAGCACGTGTCTCTCTGTGTCTGTGTCCTGTGTGTGTACAGCGTGTGTCTCTCTGTGTCTGTGTCCTGTGTGTGTACAGCGCGTGTCTCTCTGTGTCTGTGTCCTGTGTGTGTACAGCGTGTGTCTCTCTGTGTCTGTGTCCTGTGTGTGTACAGCGTGTGTCTCTCTGTGTCTGTGTCCTGTGTGTGTACAGCACGTGTCTCTCTGTGTCTGTGTCCTGTGTGTGTACAGCGTGTGTCTCTGTGTCTGTGTCCTGTGTGTGTACTGCGTGTGTCTCTCTGTGTCTGTGTCCTGTGTGTGTACAGCGTGTGTCTGTGTCCTGTGTGTGTACAGCGTGTGTCTCTCTGTGTCCTGTGTGTGTACAGCGTGTGTCTCTGTGTCCTGTGTGTGTACAGCGTGTGTCTCTCTGTGTCTGTGTCCTGTGTGTGTACAGCGTGTGTCTCTCTGTGTCTGTGTCCTGTGTGTGTACAGCGTGTGTCTCTCTGTGTCCTGTGCGTGTACAGCGTGTGTCTCTCTGTGTCCTGTGCGTGTACAGCGTGTGTCTCTCTGTGTCCTGTGTGTGTACAGCGTGTGTCTCTCTGTGTCTTTGTCCTGTGTGTGTACAGCGTGTGTCTCTCTGTGTCTGTGTCCTGTGTGTGTACAGCGTGTGTCCTCTGTGTCCTGTGTCTGTA